GCTGCACCGTGAAAAAACTCAATTGATTAAAAGCCGGAGGTATTGATAGGCTGAAATCCGGGCTGGGAACTTTGATCTCCTTCCCAGACTCGTCCCTCTCAACAGTGGTCGGGTATAATCGCAACGCTCCACCCCAGCTCGGCTGCCAGGCCACATCTGGATCTGTCAGGTAGAGAATATAGCTAATCCGCCGGCTCCCAATCACATCATCGTGGCACAGCAAATGACATCCACCCGTGTAGACATTGATAGCCATATCAGTCTTGCTGCCGCTCAACTCTCCTGCCCCTGTTATCTCTGATAGATACTTGCGGAATGGGGCAGAGTAAAGAGCGTCGCGCAGGTCGAGGAGCGAGGGCAGTTTGGACAGCGAGTCATCGTCTAGCCCATCGAGGTTAGCGAGGTCGCCCGACTGGAAGATTTTGTAGATGTCTGTTACTTTTTCGGTGAAGGAGAGGTGGTCCTGGATTTCTGTGCGTACGGAGCGGAGGAGAGATGGATTTATTAGCTGAGAGATGACGCCATGTTTGTACCTATTTCAGGTTAGAATAGGATATTTTATTGGACTGTTGGAGACCAAAATCATTTGATCATCTAAAAATGTACTGTACGTACGGCGCGGAGTTTGCGTAGCTCTGCTTATACTGCTCGAGTGTAGCCTTGTCAAGCAGCCCGTTGCGGAATCGAGACTTGACAGTCTCAAAGTCCAGTACCCTCTTCTTGGAATCGGGTTGGTCATTGGCGCCCGAGCCGTTCCGTCCTAAGGTTGGTTTGCGCTTCATTGTCAACTACGATGATATTTACAGACGCAAGTGGCAGGGAAGGACAACTGCAGTGGATACGAGTAGATATAGGAGTCTGGGCGATAAAAAACTCTTTTGTGGGTGAGATCATGAGCCTAGGGCTGGAGGGGTAAGCCTAACTAACTAAAAACGGAAGAACAACAGCCAAATCAACCCAACCAGCTACAGTTACCCCGCAAACATGGACAGAGAACAAAAAGAACGGGGATGGAACTCGATGAATTGATTAGGTGCTGTAATGAGTTGGCAAGTGAACATGGCGGGATAAGCGCTAACCTCAATGGCTGCGAATACACGACAGTCGACGTTTCAGAGGCAGAAACATGCCGAAGAAGGCCGGAGAACAAGCTGCCATCATTGGCTTCATTTGTAGCAAAACAACCTTGTATCTTATGGAGATGTTAGAGCACACGAGGGATTTGCGAATGCGAAGAAGGTGATGTGTTTCATTCTTCAAGTGGATTTTTTGTATAGAAGCATTTATTCGGAAATGTGTTTCTGTGGATATATAAACCAGGGGGTTTTATTCATAGCTCATGGATTTTCGGTTGTCCTCACACTTTATCCTTCACACTTACATAGCTTGATCGATGGAACCATACTTTGTCTCCTAAGTAACTACAGTCATTTATATTTATTAGATGATAACCAAGTACGCAAACATCCATAAAATACGCTCCTGGATTTAAAAAGAGCACGATAATTTTTGTAACGCGTTGCAGCCACTGGATGTATCAGTTCCATGCCGAGTTACAGTTGGATCGTTCTAACGATTCCGGGAATCCTCAAGGAAGCACGAATTGCCACATCTTGTACCGTGTCTCGGTACTGGTAACTGGGTTTGATCATTTCGCGAATATCAGGGATAGCACAGTGGTGGTAGCATACATCCGCTTCAAGTTACTATCGGCAGCACATCTGCGCACTTAAGCAAATAATCCGCCTTCAAATGCGCTAAGAGAAACCATAGGGCGCTCAGGACGTGCGCCATGATACCGAGCCAAGGAGATATATAGGCGATGCAAATGGATACGGGGCAACTATTGCCTGTTCAAGAGAGCCCCTTGGCCCAAAAAACATAAATAAAATATTCAACCGGACTGGACGTGTACTCGAACTTCGGGAATAGAGGAACTGTCGGCGCAGGGCCCCCGTTGACGCCAAGATCGGTTTCGATGAAAGGAGCTAAGGGAGGGTTTATCGACAAATACAAATTATGAAACCGCCTGAAAAATATTTTTTTCTTTTTCTTTCCCTTTTCCCTTTTCTTTGCAGGCAAGCCCGGCTGGCTTCGGGTTGCACCACCTACTATGACAACACATGGTCTCCGCAGGCTCGGGGGGGAATTCTGGCACAGTGATTGGACGTATTCAGGCCGAAGACCATGGGAAGGGCCATGCTATTGAGTAATCAGGGCCAATTGTTGGCTCAGGGGGATAGGCTGCGGAGGTGACGCGATTTCTTGTATGCCATGCATGCGGGGAAGATCATATCACCAAAGGTCCAATAATAATAGTGGGTAAGTTTTCGCGCATTGTGTAACCCATCCTCCCTGGAGTCATGCGCATTGGATGGTTGGGCAGCGGCAGCCAATAAGGGGTGGCATGGTCTGCTGCGGCGTGTTGGTCCTTGAGGAAGAAGAATTTTTCGGGAGTTCTCGAGACAATGAGGCTGACTTCTGCTCGGGGGTTGTCTGTAAAGTTTGTTCAGTTCCAACAGCCAATGTTAGAAGGGCAAACGAATAGATCATCGAAACGAAAGCACGTCATAATGCCAAAGCACTATGGAGGCATCAATTTATTTGAAGTTTGTAATTTATGGCTGACGCTTTGGGAACTATGTGAATTTTGCTTCAACTCTTGATGTCCAGCTTAATTTGACTCTTTGTTCCCATCCCGGCTGGATGCTGAAGGCTGCTCGTGACTTATCATGCATTGGCTGACAAGCCACTCGAATGACCTTGTTTTTGTGATGAGTGTGGTTAACTATAGGCGACATATCAGTGTCTTCGCCGCCATTCTACCGCTGTGAGGATCCCAAAGAGAGATCTAAGGAACGGGAAGCTTCTCAACAGCAGCATGGGGTTACACTGTTGGGATGTCCACTTTGAGTAATTGGCAGACTTTTGAAAGCCTAGGACTGGGAGGTCAACTCTGAACCAAATGGGGGGGAGCAAGGCTGATGAAAAGATAGTCTTGCTATGCACACAGTGAGTATGTGTGAACTAATGCACTCGAGCAGTGGATGACCAGTGATCACACAACACTGGTGCTTCAGTGGAAGAAGTGCAATGCAACCCAAGATTTTGTCAAGCTACAAGATGAACAAAAATAATAATAATAATAATAATAATCTCTAAATCACCCCCATTTTCCTGCACTTTGAATTGAACCCTGCTTAACATGTTAACATGTTGGTCCGTTTTGTCTGGCTTGCCTTGAGAGTCACAGGCATAGAGCTGGAGTAGAGAACACAGCCGAAGGAAGTACCATACCAGAGCGTTATCCTAAACTAAATTTGCTGGCTGGCTTCCACGAGATAATGTTGCTTCATCTTCAGAGGTGCATAAACAGAGCAATATCTCTTCCTTTACTCCAAACTAGATAAGAACATGCAATTCAATGGAAATTGGCATGTTATATTTTTCGATGCATGGTTCCTCACCAAGAAAAGTCAGAGTTCTCTAAAGCAAATGCCTGATTTGGCATGCAAACAAACACATTTTGTTAGTGGTGGATCAGAGTGGCTGAGAATTATCAGCGCGACAAGGTGTTTCTCTGAACAACTTATTGTGAGGAGAGGCTTTTCAGGCTCATGATATGACCTGTCTGATGTTAGAAGTCTGTTGACGTTGAAGAAGCAGTTTAACTGCATGATTGGTAGAATGATTGCTGGCGATTGATTAGATTAGGGTTTCTGTATGTTGATGACTAATGCAGGACCACTAGTTAACTATTAGTTAGCAGAGACGGTCCTTAGTTGTCAACTCCACGTTCAACTTCAGCGAACGTATGTCCATCATTGCTTGTTAGCAAGCATCACAGTGACAGTAGTAACAGTGATGGTAATGGACTCGCCAAATAGCATTGCAGGGCCGGAGGAGCCTCCCCGCACCCCTCCACACCCCCCATACTCTCCAATTACCCCCGTCCTCTCCCACGCCTCCATGCCCCCCCAACCATCACCCTCACAGCAGATCATCCCGCCCCTTTCCAGCTCCTATCCTTTCTCCCTTTCTTCTACCCCCGGAAACACTCTTACGCCTATGTCCTCTAACGCGCCACCTCTGCCTACGCGGACACCCATCTTTATGTCTGAACCATCACCAGTCCCCATATCAGAAAGCAGTAACCCTGACGTCATCGCCTTGCGCTCCGCCATCTCCATCCTCCAAATGCAGAAACAACAGGCACTACGCGATATAAAAACATTAGATAAACTAAAACGTGCCGCTGTTGCACACCCGGAGGAGTTCGCGCGAGAGCTGGTCAAGGGTAATCTTACCTCCAAGGCGGGTGACATATTCAATCCCACCGGTTTCGAAAACGAAGAAGCGGCTGCGAATGAAAACGCATTCGAAGAGCAGCGAACAACGGATCAAGAACGAACAGACCGGGGAGAATGGACTATGGATATCGATAAACCACTGTCGTTTAGCAAAATCCCTAAACCTCAACAGGTCGTGCGCATGCCGCCTATCAACTGGGCTAAATATCATGTTGTCGGGGAATCTCTGGATAAGCTACATGAGGAACAGAGACAGCGTCCGACACCTGGTGAGCCGCAGAGAAATGTCTATGCCTCGCAAAGGGCTGCGGAGCATTTTATTGCTGCTCCATATCGGCCTTTTACTGATAGCTTGGACCCGCCTATGAAAACGCGGAGTACTAGTAAGGGAAAGAAGTGATGGGGTTAACTTGTGCATGAAGACTGGATATATGTTTACATGCTGACCATGCATTCATCGATAAGATCGTCGGAAGCTTGCTTGCTTTGCACTCTGTTAAACAAAAATCTGGCAGTGTGAATACACGGATACATTTAAGATCCCTAGCTATGGTTTCCTCGCAATCTAGATGCATGAAAAAATTAGGACCACTCAGCTAGGAACCATGAAGCATGGCGACTACATGCATCTACCTATATTCTCATCTCCATGAAGTCGGAAACCAGCCCAAGCGCTTAGAAATTATTGGATTAGAAGCGGCGTTTGCCCCGATGGATACCTTCAGCATTTCCTCCACTGGTTGGCACTGCTTGGTAGCTTTCAAGTTCAAATGAACTGTCAAATGTCACTGACCCAGACAGTCGAAATTCCTGCCTCAGAATATCTTTTGCATATATCGAATCCACTATCATTTGCACCTGATTCTCGACGCTATCGCATTCATAGTAGTGAAGATCCATTTCTGCTGTGATCAGGTTAACTGTCTTGCGAATGTAGTCCAGCTGGTGAGAGGAAGGAAATTGTTTCCTACATAAATGATGTGCTCTGGGGCAAATGAGCCCATATTTTGGATTGCTCCTTCATCGAGCTCTCCCATGGAGTGATTTATGAAGAATAATAGTGTTTGGTTGACTTTACGGTCCCTTCTTGTGTTGTCAGTGTTGGGTCGGTGACAACATTGATAGCCAATGACAGGGTGTGGCAGTTCAACAAAAATGTCAGAAAATTAGTCAGGTCTGTGAGGGCTCTGGCTTTCTGATGTTGTGTTTGCTTTTCTTCACGCAGTTGTTGTTCCTCCAACGCTTGAGCTTCTGCAATTTCTCGTCGATGTTGCATGGTGAGCCCACTAACTATGGGAGATAAGAAGAGACAACGAATAAAGGATATAGAGAGGGGATACAACATCGTACCGATGCTGGCTTATGATCATTTTTGCCAACATCTTCAACCTGACTGGGCTTAACGGATGCTTCCTAGCCAAGGAATGCCAACTGTTTGCACAAAGAAATCGGAGTGTCAGTAACTGATCCCTCCTTTTTGACACTAAGAAGAGAGCTGCTGACGAAGATGGCTGCGGCTGAAGCATAACACACAGCTGCTAAGAAGAGAAGAGGAGAAAAGAAGAGGAGAAGGAGGGTGTTTCTTCAACAGGGCCAATAGGGAGCGATTGCTTCTGCTCTATTCCTCCCCTGTGGCTGACAAAATGGACAAAATGAGCGGAGAACTGACATGACTCCTTAACTCTTCAGCTGGGGGACAGCCAGGAAGCTCTAGATAGACATCTTCTTCTTGATGCGAAGCAGATCAAAGTTGGAGATGGATATCTTGTTGGTAGTATTAGCAAGATTCATTAAGATTCGTTTGTTGTTGAATACCTTTGTGAGTCTTGGGTATGGGTTTTCTTGTGGGTAATGGCACTTGATGGATGAAAGCTCAAACAGAAGGTGAAACAGGAACAGATAAGCAGAAGAGAGCAGAAGAGCTGAGTTTAATGAGGGAAATTGATGGATCAGAATAAGAAGTAAGGAGGGTTAGTAGTGTTAATGAGATGGAAAAGGAAGAGAGAGAGTTCTTCCTTTGTGAAAAAAGTCAGCCACCTCTGTATGTGAATGCTTGGACAAAAATCCTGTCAACCCTTCACCCATTCTTGAGCTTTAAGTCAGAAGTTAGCATCTTGACCGCTGAGGTGAATAAGGGGCAAACAGGTACCCCTATTTCAGATGTCCATTCCTCGATATTCATTTCCACTGCCTTTCCCAAAAGTCTGCCCACAGATTCCTGATAAGAGGCATTCTTGAGTTTCTCAGTCATCTCATGTAAACTGCAAGACAATAGATTCTTAAATATCCCAACGATATAGCACGGAGTGCCACTGGGAGAATACTTTCTAGCAGATTACAGAGAGGGAGAAAAGGGACCTTATATGGCGCATATTTTTTTGAATGAATGTATGTAAAGAATAGCTATGTTACCTTAGGAAGCATAGATATTCGCAAAACAAATAACAGGGATAAGATGCTTAAATTGCAGTTAAAAACTACCACCACATGCAAAACAAATTGCTCCTAAGAACCGTAACTAGGGAACTATGGAAAAGGGGTTAACCTTGAGACCCTGAACCCCCGTCTCCTTCCGCGCTTCCCTGCTAGCAAGATACATGTCAAGGACTTGAAGAGGAAAAGAATGAGAAATAGCACAGTAAAATCCATATGAACATATCTCCATAAAACAAACTCCTATTAATTCCCCTTTTAAAAATTCCGATGGTTAAACGATTTGAAAGAAAAAAAAAAAAAAAAAAAAAAAAAAAAAAAAAAAAACCGCAAAACGCTTAAAACGTAAACCCGTCGCTCCAGAACCCTACCCATCCCGCCTTTCCCCAAGTGAAACTTTCTTCAGCTCCAACGCCTGCTGAAGACTCTGTACACGCTTGCCCAGCTTCGACTTCAAAATCGGATTCGCCATACTCTCCCACTTTAGCGTCTCAGTCTGTACCAGCAGCTCCAGCTCAGCAATCTCCTCTCGCTGCTGCTGTAGTTGCCGTTGCTGCTCCAACGCATCTTCATCGAGGTCTGCATCGTCCGCCTCGTCGCCCGACGATCCCTCTTCGCTTTCATCTTCATCGTCATCCCCGGACGTTTCACCCGCAGCTAGGGGTTTGGTGTTGGGTGTTCCCACCTCAAGTTCACCCTCTGCTTCTCCCTCAGCTTCCATGGCAATGGGTGTGGCCGGAGATGTGTCGGACACATGAATTTCACCAGTAACAGCAGAAGCAGGGGCTGAGTCTCCATCCGCATGAGCGGCCAGAGCCGCCTCCATCTCAGCTGCAAGTTCATCTTCGAAATCATCAACACCTTCTTCTTGTGCAGAGGGTTGAGTGTAGCCATCCATGCCGTAGTCATCCACTTCCCCTTCAGCATCCTGCTCATCATCATATTCTTGTCCAGCCAGATTGTACCTTGCACCATCTTCACTCATAGCACTAGACTCCCGCATGTACTGCGCATAATCCAGGATCTCGAATTCCGGCGGACTTTCAGCCGCCATGTCTTCCCTTAGTAAACGTGCAACTTCCAACTCAACTGCCTCGATAGTGCGGTTGCTAATCCGCTTGCGGAACCGCCTCTTGCGCACCCATCGAAGTGGCGGGGTGAGTCCATGGGCATACTGATAGCTAGACTCGTCGACGTTTTTGGGTAGTGGGTAGGTATGTGCTTCTTCTTCCGAGTTGACACGGCCAAGCACAAGCAGCATCTGGCAGATGTCTGCAGATTTATACCAGCCGCGTTTATCCCAACTCTTCATGCCCTCGATAATGCATGGTAGATCAACGAGGGAAGCGGCGTATATGCGTCCTCGAATGTTGATAACGGCGCGCCGTCCATCTTTAGTCAGTGATTTGAAGCTCACATCGGCGCCACCCTGACTGCGAGGCCCCCATCTCTTCTCCGTCACGGCCTGGCGGAGGTATTCACAGTCATCGCCCGGCTGCATACGGAGGATAAATTGTTCTTCCAGGGCCGGATCCTTTTCTGTGTCTGAAGCTTCAGAGTCATAGCCCACACCTTTTGGTCGAAAAGGAGGTTCTCCTTTGCTTCGTAGACGGATAGATGGCGGCGGTTTGGTGCTGAACTTGATACGCTTTATCGCGGGGGCTTTTGCAGATGAGCTTCCCTTGTTTTTGGACGCTGGAGCTGGGGAACCGATGCCAGCATCGTTACCGGTTCTGTCTCTGGCTCGTTTCTTTGAAGAACTTGAGCGTGGGGTCTCTTGTGACGCCTTAGTTCGGGAAACCTTGAGCTTTTTGGAGGTTTTGGAGGTTTTGGAGGTTTTGGAGGATGAAACTGGCGGGGACGGTTGTTGTTCTTCTGCGTTGGGCTTTGGGCCGATTTTGAATTTGAGCTTAGGAAGTGAGGAGCCCCCGGGGGTGGTAGGAGAAGGAGGAGAAACGGCCTTAGCAACTTGGTCAACCTTCGGTTTACTGAAGGTCAGCTTAAGCATCGGTCGAGAAGACATGGCGAGGGGCGTTAGGACGCTCGCCCTGCGCCTTTGCACGGAAGTGACGCTTTCTGCACGCAGGACTGTAGATGTATGCAGGTATTCTAGTGTAGATGACACGGCAATGTTCGCAAACAAAGTGAGAAAAGCCAGAGAGTATATATTAATTAATAGGAAGACGGTAATGCTCTGCTCTATTGTTGCCAGCTCCCACGGCGTAGTGAGTCGTCAATCAATGATGTTTTGGAAGTGATGACTAAGTCAGGAGATGAAATCGTGTGGTCTCGGCACATTTGCGTTGTTCAAAACCCCTTCACTGGGCAAACCACACATCAACACCCAACTCCTCGATTCATTCATTCATTCATTTGAATTGACCTGAATTGAATGAGATAGAGAGAAAATAGAGAGAATCTCAATCTCTCAATTGGGGGGTGAGTCAGCCATATTATATAGTTGTTACCAGTAGCTGCTGGGAATAGTGATAAATAGCAGCTGGAGGTGAAAGTGAATGTGCGAATCTGCTTCCTCACATACCTGCCTGCAAATGTCAGGCTCTCACTACTCTCTATCTTCTTAGATCCCCTCAATATCCCGTCCAAGCCTCTCCAGTATACAGACACAGGTACAGACATAGACTCCATACGCATACGCATCAGAATCCGTATCCTATGGGAGAAACATGTCGGCCCCTAACCTCTATCACACCCTGTTACGGCCCCCAGTTATTCAGATCCTCCGGGCTGCAGGCTTCCACTCAGCTAGCCCCGCCGTCATCGACACTCTCACGGATCTCGCCGCACGATATCTGATGCTCCTGGTCTCGTTCACCGCTGGTCACGCCAACAGCAGCCATGACAGAATCCCCATTCCAAACCTCCACGACGTCATCATGGCGCTGCAGGACGCTGGCGCCCTGAGACCCCAAATGAGTGTCTCCGAAGAACTTCTCAGAGGGGAAGAAGATATGAGAGGCCTCGACTCGTTTATGGCTTGGTTTACTGGTCCTGCCAACAAGGAAATTAGACGAGTGGCTGGATTTGTGCCCAGCGAAGGAGATGTGGTTGACGAGGATTCTCTGGAGAAGGAGGATTACTTAACATGTATGTGTTTTTAAGTTTCTCTGTCTGTATGCTTTTTGAGACCTTTCGCGGCTAATGTATTTGGGCATGACAGCGTTAAAGAAGAAGCACAGCAAAACGGGCGAGGAATCGCGGTACCAGGGCACCGTTCTGGGGAAAAGCAGAGAGATCCATCCGATCATCATTGAGGGCGGAGCTCAAAGCATAAAGGCGTGGGGCATGGAGGTACGATTGAGGGAAACGAGCGCCGAGTCTGTATCGTCAACCATGAGCAGTGCCCCGAGCAGCCTGTCAGATGTGGTGGATATGGAGACATGAATAGCACGCATATTCAGGTTCATATACACATACTCAGTTGTGAGTCGATACCGATACCCGTGCATGTTTTGCCAACACTTACGGGAACGGTCTACCCGTGTCCTTGCTTGTGAAGTTTGGCCCGTTCGGCAGGGTGTTTCCAAAATTGGTCTTTGGATCGCAAATGCTATTACTTCAGAGCCATCTTATCTCCATAACGAGCATCAACAAAATACCAAAGTGGCCTTTCCATCGATATGGGGGAGAGAAGGTGTTTTACCAATTCGCCCGGAAAATGCTATGAAACCATGATCATCACCGATTCAAAGGCCGCAAACCAAACATCGGGGTGGAACGATGTCACGGAGTAAATGATAACAGAATTCATTCCACGACTCGAAAAGATATCAGGTAACTGAACTCTAGTCGAAGATCCCACTTACTCTTCGCTCGTACCCCTAATATGATAGCATTCGATCTCCACAACCATAAGCAAGTCGAAGAATAGTTTTAGAAAGGGCTGATTTGGTGCATGAGTGCAAGAGGGAAATGAGATGTTCATTAAAGACGATAGCACTTTTCCCGACAATTTGGATCATTCAGACCTAGATGAAATCGGGTTGAGGGTGTCCAGGGATGGCTCTTGGGGGTTGAGAGCTGTAATACTCTTAAATCTTTAACAGTATTTATAAAACCATGTAGTTACAGCACATAGTCGTACTTCTACAATCAACCAATTCTTGAAAAATAGAGAAATGATTTTTTTGCCTCGCATTCTACATTGTTTTGCGATTTATGAATTCCGGCTAAATTATTTTCATCGTTTTGCTGCGTTGATCAAAATATTTAGAGCGTCCTTGTTCCGCTTTCCCCAGAGAACATCAAGGACCGCATCCAACGTCTATATCAACATCCAAACAATATTTTTCTATATAAATCTCTTTGCTGTAAAGCTCACTTCTATTAAACTGATACTATCTTGCACCTTACCAAAGACATGGTCTACTCCTTTTCCCTCCCCACAACCTCCCACCTATCCTTCCAATCCTTTCTCTCCTCCCCAACCCACCCCTCCCTCCCCCAATCCGCCTCCACAGCCCGCCACGCCCTCCGCCTCGCCCTCAAAAAACACAAATGTCTCTCTCCGTCCCAACAATCAGATCACCTACAAACCATTCTCTCCGCTCTAAATGAGTATATCCCCTTCCTTTTCGCCCTCTCGCGAGGTCTCAGCTCCGCCCCTCCTGCCAATGGAGCAGAGGACATCGATATCCATCTCCGCTCGGAAATCGAGGTCGAATGGCGCGCCACGCTTTCTTCCAGCTCCGCTTTACTTCGTCTGCGACGCGGTGATGTGGGTGTAGGACGCCACTCTTCTCGCGTCCATGGACGTGGACTTGATTTCGAAATCGCCTTCATCCTCTCCACGCTGGGGTGTGTGCTATCAAACTTGGGCCGGAGCAGTTATCTGAAAACGCTGTATGCGAACAAGATGCCGTCGGCCGAGATGAAGACCGCTGCTGTACAAGCAGCTACCAAGTACCTGCTCCATGCCAGCAGTGTGCATGCGTTTCTGGCTTCCTCGTCTTCATTCGCCGGGTTATGTGCGGCTCCTACCCCGCAAACTGGGATGTTTGCCAAGTCCACATTCACTTCTACTTCTACTTCTACGTCGCCGGCTGGGACTTCGAATCCACCAGTACCCATTCCGGACCTCGACCCGTCGACCCAATCCGCCCTCTCAACCCTCGCCCTCGCCGAAGGTACCCTCCTCGCCGTCGTCAAAGATGACGCCTACCTCTCTGCATGCATCCAGGCACGCAACTCCCTAGACACAGACTGGATGGTCAAGGCACCTGATATCCCTAAAGTGCGAACCTTGCTCTTTGCCCGTCTATGTGTGCGCGCAGCAGAGTATGCTGAGCAGGCTGTTGCCAGCGCCGGCGCCGTGGGTGGTAACCGGAATGAGGCCAAGGTCGACGAGGGGTTGCTAAATTACATGCGCAGTCTGGCGAGGGTATGTCGTGCGAGGGCTTGTCGTTTTTTTGGCGTCGATGCGGAGATAAAGGGGAAGACTGGGGAGGGGATTGCGTGGTTAAGGGCTGGGAGGGGGATATTAGGGTTTAGGGGGGCCTTACAGGGGGAGGAAGATTCTGATGGCAAAGGGAAAGGAAAAGGGGGGTTTGGTGGGGGGTTCTTGAAGTTGAGGAGGGGGTGGGAGGAGAGGAAGGAGGAGAGGAGGATTAAGAAGGAAGCTGCATCTTCTCGTGGGGGTGAGATGGAGCGTGAGGCGGAGATGGATTGGGGTGATGATGCGGGGAGGGAAGAGGAGGGGAGGGTGCTGGATATGTTGGAGGCGAAGTGGGTGAAGATGAATGATACTGTATGTTAATTTCTTTTTGAAAATATTTGCATTAGATTTGGCTGCTGACTATATATCTAGGTAAATACCCAGCTTATTCCCCCGTCATCGTCATATCTCGCAAGCCTCCCGTCGGGCAGGGATATTCACTCCAACCCTGCCGCCTACTCGCCTCCACAGCTTGATGCGGGACAGCTCGTGCGCATGCGAGTGCCTCCTGATACTCCTGATTCTCTGGATCTCGATAGCAGTGGTGAAGAAGCTGATAAGGCAGAACCTGTGCGTGCGGGATATTTCTAGAATTAGGTATATAAGAGTTAACCTGAGTAATAGGCATAGCATGCTGGAGAGGTGTGAAGTCATTGAGTAGTTCAGATATCTAGTTACGTCGAAATTAATTATACCCTCAACGTTTTATCACAAATGCCAGCAATGGAAAGCAATAATGATAATGTCTTCTAAGCTTTTGGGTTTTATTTTTCATGGCAACAATGCATGTACGCTTGGTCTAGCTGACATCAATATTCATATCAACCAGGTCTAGAAAGCAAACCCACCACCAAACTAACCAACCATGAGGTAACGCAGTTGTATGTGACCAGCAAACACGCAAGGGATACACCATCCTAACACATGCAGCCTTGACAAGTCAGACGGAGAAGAGTGCGATGGCTCCTGCAAGCAGAGAGCACAAAGATAGTCCCCGCTCATAGAGAGCCACATCATATAACCGAATCCTGCCACTACTCTCTCCGTTTCCATCGAGTATCGCAGCCATCATCCAGTCTAGAAATGAGCACTTCCATCCATCCCTGGTTCTCGTCTCCAGCACAAGTTGACATTCTCTAGCGCAACCAGCATCTCAACAGTGGCCATGTGGTCGTTCATTCATTCGTCTAAACAGCTCCCCTTTAACCCCTACTACTCCCCTACCACCTCACGAAGTTGACGACGCATTCTTCGACACGTAATTCTTCTCTTGGAACAAATAGCCCTTAATCTTCGCCTCCTTAAGTAGCTCGAAGTATCGATCTGTAAAATATCGCGACCAAAACACATTAGTTTCCATCCATTATATATACATATATATATATAAAGAAAGAAAAAAAAACACCCACCCCTCAGGGCCCCACACTTCTCCAAATGATTCACCCCTTCACGCCGATAACACTTCCCCAATTCCTCCCCGACCAGCCGCGCCATCATGCTGCGCACCCACTGCTCGCGAATAATTGCATCGCGCACGTTATGTAAGGCGACAGTATCCTCAAAGTCGACACCGTCGTAACTTGGGGGTACTGTGGGCTTTTTGGCGAGGAAGGCGGCGGATTCCGGGGTCGGCATTACTGCTTGTTGTTCTCTTTGTTATGACGCGCTCTTTTAGTGGTTTGCACTAGGAGAGAGCTTGTGGATGTTGGGTTTATTGGCTAGGGAGCAATTGGTGTTGGTATTTAGCCTGTTGATTGAATGTAATAACTCATTAGAAGTTAAAGATGAAGTTGCATGTTTGATTTAAAGGGTAGCATGAGAATTAGCCGCTGTGATTGGCGGAGAAATGAAATTACATATCTCATCACGTGATTAATATATTTTGCCGGGTGCAACCTTGGTTATTAAGGGCTAATATTAGGGGTAGAATGATGGAGACCACATAAATGCAGGCATATTGTATGCTGGTTCTCTTTAGCTAGGAACTGCAGACACAGATGGCTATGCACTAGACGTATAAATTCCGTAAAAGGTATCTATGTATGAAGTCACTACCAGGAGACAAATGCCCGGTCAGCTCCCGCATGCATCTAACTAGCTGCTAATTCGTCGGAGGTTCAACGTTCAGGGGGTGAGAAAACTTTGCTAGGGAAGTATGCTGGGATGAGATATAAAGAGAAGAAACTGAATCCAAAAACATTGCCAACGGGTGGTAATAAAAGAACAAATCCGTGACTAATAAGAGATGAAATGACAAGAAAAGCAACCAGAGAAGAAAAGGTAAAGAACTCAAAAAGAAGTCTGATAATACAGTAGTATAGAATGGAAAACAAAGCTCCTTGATGCATGAACATGAAAAGGGAAAAGATGTGACCCTGGCGCAAGGCTCAAGATCAAGTCAAGCCAAACGGGTCAGTAATATATCACAAGCAAGAAAGCCAGGCAGAGAGTAATAGAGCAACAAGAAGTGAAAACGGACAGAGGAAATGAACCATTCCACTTAAAAGGAACTTAAAAGGAAATAAACCAGAGATATGAAAGTGAAATGTATCTCGATCAAACAAAAAGGTAGGAGGAATATATAGAGAAAACGGTGGGACTTCAAGAAAAGAGCAGAAAATGTAAAAGAAAAGAGAATCCAACGAAACCGACAACCAGTATAAAAAGAAAAAGAAAAAGAAAAAGAAAAAGAAGAAAAAAGAAGAAAAAAAAAAGGGAATTCGATAAAAAGCGAAATTCTATGCATCACCACTTATTCTCCATCTCCTCTTTACCAACCGTCTTCAAAAACAACCCAGTCAGCCCCTCCTTAAGCCGCTCCCACCACGTCCGATTAAGCCAATAACTCAATTGCCGATAATAATACATCTCCCCCCAACAGTCCCTCCCCCAATTGCACCCGGCCATATTGACCACGAAATCCCGATCCTTCCGATGATAATGGAACTGGCGATCCGTACCATCCCCACAGGCACCGGGCGGGAATGCGTTTATCCTCCTCTGCGCCACAAAGGCAATATGCGGCCGTATCCACGGCTGGCTGGCGTAGAGGTGTGCCAGGCTGTCCTGCTCATTGTGTTCCCAGGCCATGTGCATTTGCTCGTAGAGCACGGGATCCCACCAGATGTCGAGGAGGCGTTCGGTCCAGGCGCTGCGGCGGACCATGAAGGAGCCTAGATTGAAGCCTGTGCAGTCTTGGGAGATTACCATGTTTACGGAGGAGGATTTGCCGTCACCTGTCGGGGAGAGGGAGATGGGGTCTAGATAGGGGACGGGTGGGGGATGGGTGATGTTGAGCGGGTTGAAGAAGTTTATGTCACGGTATATTTTGCTCTCGAGGTTGTTGAGGATGTGGGATTGGACGGAAAAGCTGGGTTCCATAATGTAAGTGTGTAGGTCGAGCCACCAGAACCTGAGAGGGTTGTTAGTAAATTCTGGGTAGCATATTACTTTATTTACGTCCCCGGGAGCTAGCTCTGTTACATACCACTCAGCGCGAGGATATCGCCGCATAGCTTGACGGATCGCATCAACCTTCTCCCAGCTCTCGCGCCATTCATGCGCATAACGTCTCTTCGTGACCATGTTGACGATTTCTAGATCGTAACCCCAGCGCTTCACATAGTTTTTCTTGTTTTTCAGGCTGTCTCGTTCAATCGCCCATTCTCGAGGGCCTTTCCATTCCATAACGCCTCCACCAATATTCGACCCAACGATCAACACAATCTTCTTCCCTCCACCCAATGAGGATCCGCGATATGATTGCATGATGCCTGTTGAAAACGTTAGAAATTGTTAGGTTATCTTGATATCCTTTGCTTCCCTTTTACTTCAGTGAAACAGAGAGATTTTTTTTAAAAAAAAAAAAAATAAATAAAAATGAAAATGAAAATAAAAATAAAAAATAATGATCACTCACGAGCTGAATAAGAAAGCCAAATGATAAAGGATAGCAGCAAAAGGAGAATACATCTAAACCTCCACTTCCGCACAATAGTATACAGTAAAGATTTGATGCGAGCGCGCAATAGCCCACTGTCACCCGACCATCGCCCGCGACCCAGCTTTTCCTTCTCGCCATACTCCAGCATAGAATTGACACGAAAGCGCGGTAAACTCACGGATATCTTGCGTCGTTGTCTTGAGAAAAAGCCATTATTTCTGGTTGAAAAGGATGGGTAGCCAACTATCCGTCCGCTCTTCGCCTTCGCAGAGGCCCATGGGACACTGCTGCCACCAGCAGCTCCAACACTCAGGGGCGAGCCGTTTGCATGAAAAGTGCCATTTCCACTGCTCGTGCTGCTGTTAGTTGTATCCTGGAAACCCCTGGAAGGGCTGGAACGCCCAGAACTGTCGGCACCGGTAGCCAGACCGGGACTGGGCCATCCTCCACCACGGCGGGGTGAGGGAGAGCTCGAGAGTGACATGGGCGTGGGCGGAGGCCCCGTGTCCATACACGGCCTGATATCGATGTCGGGGGCGGCAGAGATGGAGGGGAGCAGGAACGAGCACGCTGGAAGGGTGGAGGTGACAGCTTGATCACGTCTGGACACGGAGGGCGAGGGAGGATGGTTTAAGGGAGTGGCAAGGGAAGAGGAGCGTCTGCGATGGCGCGGAGCACGGCTGTTTGTCAAGGATTTTGTCGCCAGCTTGAAGGACGGCAGGAGAGCAGGAAGACGGGAGAGATCGAAATCCTCCCTTCAACCCACGAATTGCGTTGTAGTTTTGATATCCGACTGGTGTGTCTTGTTAGGCGTTCAAACAGCGGTCCTGTGTGTGCATGTACTCTGTATATGTATCTTTGTTTATACCATGGGTAAATCGATCAATGAATGGTTCCGGCCCCAGAAGAACAAAAGGGCAGGGATTTAAATACAACATAAAAAAAATAAAAAAAATAAAAAAAAATAAAAATAAAAAAACAAAAAACGCAGGGAAATGCCAAGAGGGGGATAAACAAGAATTAAAAGAAGGTTTAGTATGGCGTACGGCGTATACCAGGTGCCAGCCGAACTAGCAGCAGATACGGGTTGTATATCCCTGTGAGAATAGAGAGAGTGAGTGAGTGTATATGTGAGAGAGAGAATATGTGAGGTGAGAGTGAGCGAGTGAGTGAGTGAGTGAGTGAGTGAGTGATATAGAGAGAGAGAGAGAGAGAGAGAGAGAGAGAGAGAGAGGCGATGGGGAGGGATATGTGTCGTTGGTGATGGCTTAGCCGAGATAGATTTCAAGGTGGTTACTTTTCCGTATTGCTATTACCCAGGACAACGGCTCAACTGACGGGTTGCTGGGGGGTTCCTGGGGGGTTACCGCAGGGTTGCCGTGGGTCCCCGCCAAACACTGGTTATGTAATAATGCATTATAAACCAACCAACACCCAGCTAGTTAGTTACCTGAGCACCTGGTTAAATGTTGTAATCAAATTACTCCGGGCGGACTACGCATGCATCAACACCTCAGTTGGCTCGTATGGATTGGCGGCTGATTGACGACATGTAGATGATGCGTTGAATGCATGTGTATTTGATTTGCAGCTAGCTAATTGGGGTCGAGTCAGTTACTGCTGGCACATGTGTGAGGTTCTCCGGCCGGTTCTGCGTATGCACCCGTATTGCTCTAGCGGTAACCTCAGGGAGCGAACCGGGTCAAACGAGAGACATGGGTGGCAGAGGATGGAGATTGGAAGTGAGACACGCAGGCAGGGTCTGGGAGTGGAGGACCGGGACCAGGTTGGGAGGAGAGGAATAGATCCGTAGAGATACAGGAGATAGACGAACAAGAAGCAGTTCACTTGTGGCTGAGGATGTTGATCTCAGATGTTGGAACCGAGAAAGAAAGAAACCCACCCAAAAAAAAAAAAGAAAAGAAAAGAAAAAGAAAAAAAAAAAAAAAGAAGAAGAAGAAGAAGAAGAAGAAGAAGCCGAAAGTTGCCTGATCGAGCAATCCAAGGCAACTGAGTTTCGGGCAAATTATGAACAACAAAATCTGGGACAACTGGGGACCGCCTGGACCACTTTTTGCAGGCCACTTTTCTGCAGCGTCGTTTGATCGGAGAAGGGTTTCTTTTGGGAGGAGGCAATCTGGTAACAAGAAGAAAGAGAAAAATAAAATGAAAAGGAAAATGCCCTCAGCAACCGCTGTGGAACAGCCAATCAACACGGGCGTCTATCTGTAATCTATCGCTGTAATTTGCCGTTCATGAGATTTGTGTCCCTAATTAGCCATGGGTTTTATTACGTTCATGAAGCTTGATCCGTCCTGGTTCTTCCATACGGACCCCGTTCAACTCCACATTGTGCAGAAAATTCCCAAGTCAGGGTGGATAGGAATACCTGCGCATAATCGGACTCGATGTCTTATATCTTTCTCCAATCTCTCAACCATTTCATGCAGCACCGGCAACTTAGAAATCCCGACATGTAACTATGTTCCATCATAAGTTGTTCACATAAATCGCCGAGCCAGACGGATTCGAATGTTTCAGCCCTGGTTTGCAGGTGGCGGTGTCGTCTCCATCGGAGAAGCCACCAATCATCATCATCATCCTCCTCCTCCTCCTCCTCCTCCTCCTCCTCCTCCTCCTCAGCAGTTACTTGTTAATGGATCCGTCAACCAACGACTCAAGCGAGTAATGGTCGTGTTTCCAATGACATCAAACAAGAGCTCCCGATGGGTGCTTCATGTGGACCATATTGACCAGCCGCCTACAAACCATCAGGAAAAAGAATATGTACATGTTATGAAGCACAGCTGTTGGAGCACGTTAGACGCCATTGATGCGCCTCTTTGGTGGGGGGGAATTATGGTTAGGGTTTAGATGCTTTTGTATATTTATTTTGGTATTTCCTTACTTTTCCTTCTTTATTCGATATAACGTTCAGATCAACCCATGGATCGGGGCTGCGGGGATTGTTTGAGATACCATAACGAACATCGGAACCGGCGAAACTCATTTCGGAGAATTGATGATGCTTGTTTTAATAGTAATAATAATAATAATAATAATAAATAAATAAATAAATAAATAAATAAAAACGTGTTTAATTCTACTGACTAGTTAACAAATAAGGAGAAAAGAAGAAATAACTACATTTGTATAACTTAACATTATAATCTTTCCAGGACAAACTAATATTTACTCATTTGAAATCCCGCAAAAGTCTGATAATAAACAAAGCAGGTCGCAAAAGAGGCACGACAACCCTTTTATAGTTACATCCCCTCTATAAAGGGAAAGGGGTTGTAAGTATAAACGGATAACTATCCCCATCAATCAACCCCTTTTTTGCAGCAGGTTCACCCGCCCAGACCATCCGTCTAATACCAACTCCATCAATTAGCATTGGCATATCACTCCCCAACAAGAGAGAACAGAATTGCGTAATACGTATTCAATGAGATATCAGACGGGGAAACTCTGGTATAATGATAGACATGCATCCCCACCCCTCCTCTCGCCATCTCTCTCCCCCTCCCTCCTCTCTCCTCTGCCTCCGCCCCATCCTTACCCTCCAAATCCATCAACCCCACCTTCACCATCTCTATCTACAACCTCTCTCACCTTCTCCACCCCCCACCGGCTCCGGCTCCCCATGCCTCATCAACAACCACATCGCCCACCCTTCCCAACCCCATCATCCACTGCGACAGATTGATCTGCCCAGCCATCCCCTGCGTCCAACTGCCCACTGGACACTTGTATGCTTTCTCCGTGATTAAGATAATCAATTCTGTTTCTCCATATCTCAGGAATCAAATGCATAAAGCCGTAGATGTATATCCACAGTAGTATAGCCGGTATCCCCCTTGTCTTGGGATGTACACAGAAAGAATTCGTCGTGATCAATTTCGTTCTTGCCATCAGCCTGCAATGCCGCTGCTCTGGATTTTGAAACAATGACTTTCTGGTAGTTGGTCATCTGGTGTCAGAATGACTCCCTAGGCATCTATTAAGGACTCGAATAGATGCCCCCCCCCCCCCCCCCCCCCCCAAAAAAAAATAAAATAAAAATAAAAATAAAAATAAAAATTGCAAATTCAGTAGCCGGAGCGGGAGTTGGAACTGCCAAGGGCTTACTATCAGAAGTCGCAGCAGAATCAAACTTTTTGCGTGCTTCGGTTGGAGCATGACCGTTCTCAATCTGGAGGGAATGATAGGGGGTGAGTTTATCAAAAAGGGGTTGGGTTCATAGGCAGGCGCCAAAGCCCGGAAGAAGTGACTTCATCCAAATCCCCAGACTCGAAAACTTCTGACTCCTTTCCATATAACATCATTCCTTTTTCCGAGTGAGTATATACATCTCATCTCATGGCCTCCATTCCCCAATTCTAGGACATCCAGCAACTAGGAATATCTCTGTCTCCTTTTCCCGTGTGTTTCCCCTTCCATACCAAGATCCGCCAGTTCCGGCGGGACACTGGGCGAACCACCATACTGGACCCCGGGGACTTCAGCCGACTGCATCACCACGGGTTAGTGGTGTAGTCAGAAAGAAATGTAGTAACTTAAGGCAGTGCGCAATAAAATGGGGGGTTTTTGGTGTCCAATCGGTTTAACAATTTTGATAGGCCTCACGACAAGCACTTTGTGCGTTGTGGAAATCTGCAATGCGCGATGCCCGCCAGACATAACATAGATATATAGGGGTCTTCTTTTTTCCAATGGTCATGTCATCGGTGCGCGAGATGAGGCCCTGGCAGATCGCCCTTGTCCAATCCACCTAATGATGCCTGCGCACATCCATGGGGGGGGTTTTTTGCGGAGGGATGCAATTGGTTTTGGTTTGTGCGGTGTGATTGGTTATGGTAGTTATTCCATCCGAGTCATATGAGATTGTCCACAGTCTATTTAGCTTACTCCCTTGGCTACCAACCAAGGATGATTTGACAAAACATTTTATTATTACTCTTTGAAAACGCTCGACTGGGTATATCATAATATAATTATTGTTATTATTGTTATTATTATTAGCAAGGCGGGGAGAAATTTTCATTTTGAGGTTTTAGATCACGACTAAACTACATAATGGCTTCAATCACGGCAATACATTTTCGGGCCACTGCTGCACGGCATGCTTGGAATACGCTGGATGGGGATCTGCCATGATTGTGAACAGCTCATTTCGGCATTCCAACATACGCCGCGATGCGTAGCAAGGTCAATCTCCTGTTGGGTAGAGGTCATGCTTTTATCCTCTCTCCCTCCTAGTGAAAGGCGGGGCAGCTTCTCTTCTTTCGTCTTATCGTTGAATGGTTCCTAGCTACGGTGTGCTCCGCCCTTTTAAACGTAAACAAACCTACTCCCAGCTCTCAAGCAGGATCGACTCAAGTACTTCAAGCCGGGAATACAATTTTGTACGCACTTCATCCAATTCGTGAACGGCTTGACGTATATCTTCCGTAGTGTTAGGAGATAGAGAGGGTGGGATTCTGAAATACTTCTTGCTTGATGAAGTTGGGCTGGAGTTTGAACGAGATGGGATAATTACAGCTATTTTGGAGGTTCTTCTGTGACTGAAGGCACGCAATTCACTCTTTAACGGTGAAAGAAAGTTGCAAGCTTGGATTAAATAACTAAATGGCGGTGATGGTTTTCCGGTGCATAACTACTAAAAATATCCCTGGACCACCCCGAGGACTGATATCAAACCAACCAGCACACCCCCTTGGATTCCGGTTAATGAAAACGTTGACTCTGACTGCACTGCTGCATTTCCTGTTGGCCTGTTGGAAAATACCAGCGTCGTTCTCGACCCCGTATGATCGCCGTTCCGCCAAGTATAATTCTTCTTCCCCTCCCTCATCTCCGGGTGCACGACGAACGGTACAGTCGCAAAGTAATTCTCCCTATCATTCCCAAGCACCGTCACCGTCCGTGTGAATGCGTTGGTACAGTCATGTCCTTCCGTCGGGTAGCAGGGTATCTTCTCTTCATGCACACTATACAGCTCCCACCAGCACACGCGGCCCGTTGTTTCGTTACCAACCATGTGCCACAAGGGAGAGATCCATGGCTGCTTGCCTGCTCTGTAGATATTGGCCCAAGCCCCATTGCTGTAGCTATCCATGGCCTCCCAGGTGCCGTCCGCAGCGAGACGGCCATCAGTGGAGTTGAAGGTGCTGTTTGATGGATAGATCGGAACGGTTCGGCCCTCTTGGGAGCATCGGGAGATTGTAAAGCTCGGCTTGGGTGTTCTGAAGCCTCCAACTACAATATCGTAGATGTGAAAGTCGGTGATGGGGGAGGTGGCGCCGGATGTGTAATCAGCGAGGTTTTTGCCGGAAGGGATGTTGGGAGGATAGATCCATTGGGCTGACACACAGGGGAGAAAAGATACGAGCAGCAACATAATTAAACGAGGGACTGTCTGGACAATGGACATCCTGTTGACATTAACGCACCCGCTACTCTGTATTGAAGGGTAGGATGGGATAGACACTGGCTGTCGAGCTTTGCCTGTCCACCAGCACCCTCGCTAGCGAAGTTATTGTTTAAAATGCAAGGATAGGCATTGATGGCTTTGAATCCCATTATATGTGCCCCGCTGAGTGCCGACAATGCGAACATATATTGAAGGCAAGGAAATTTTGTCAAAGGTGCTAATTTAGGAGATCAGATCTAGATCTCCACTGTTCTGCATCCATCCCATGGCTAGTTAAAGGCTAAAAAAAACATGAAAAGCCGAAAACTGTTCTATCCAAGAATCTGTTGAAATATCTGTTAGTTAGGAGTTATAAGCATGCCGATACTAATGACAAGTTGCGTTTACATTGCCGAACTGTGTACGAATAATTTGTATTTGTATCCTTAATAATCTTCCCCCATTTTGAGATAATATCATACTCCTTAAATCAGGGAAAATCTCGCATATCATTCAAGCGCTTAAACAAAAAGGAAAAATTAAGCAAGGAGGGTACGTGTAGGTAAACTAAAATAAATAGGAGGTAGATAAATGTAGGATAAGGGTTGGGGATGGCACAACTAGGAAACTTTATGGGGCATGAGCCCAGTCACGAGGAGCTAACCAAAATACAAGTTGAACGCAAAAAAATCGCTTGCGTACTACCATACCAACCAAACAAACCGGTGTAAAAGCCCAAACATCAATCAATCGATTCTGCTAGGCCCCTTTTTTTCGTGTTTTCAATCAATCCGACAATCGCCCTCCGTTTAGGCAGCAATAGTGGATGCCGCCGCCGGCGCCGTCTCCGTTGTAGTGTCCTGGATAGTCTTCAAACTCACTTCACCCTCACTTCTACTCCGCCCATATTTCGCCTTTTGAATAATGAACCCTTTCTCCTCTAGAGGTCGCATCCCGGTGCTTTCCCCATGGTAAAACTCGCATCGAAAGCGCAGATAGCGCTTGCGATCTCTGAACACAGTGATTATATCGCCCGTGTACAATTTGCCAAAAAGACGCGCATCCCGGGACTGTGTCTCCTTGCGCAGTTCCACATTGTTGACCCAGATGCAATTACTTGCTTTAGTGGATAAGATGGTCATAACACCAGGGACCTGGGTCCAGTCTTCACCCTGAGCTATTCGCGATTCGATTGATGGCGCCCAAAATGTGAGTTCAAGGGCATAGGCGGGGATACGGCTATCCATAGGATCCGAATAACGAACGGTTACCCTAGGTCCTCGCCCCCAGGAGGTCATGCGCGATTCAAGGTAAAGAGTTGTATCAGTGATCGACCCGGGAATTGAGATGAGTGCCCCGAATGGGGGAGTTGGTTTTATAGCATGTTTGGGGCTTGCGACTTTAGGCGTTGATCTAGGGTCGTGGGAGCATCGATTCTCTGCAGGATTTGACTCCCTAGCGCCAGAGTCAGCGCCGGAGCCATCGAATTGTGAGACTTCTTTGCCTGTCCGCTCATCGATGGTGGCGGCGAGTTCGAGGTGTAGTTTTGGGTCGAATGATATAGAGGTGTGCTCGGTTCCTAAATGGCATGGGTTGGATGCAGATCTGGGCGCGGCTTCTGGGGTGGGGAGGCATTTGTCGCCAGCGTAAACTGATCGTGCTTGGTTAGAGTCGACGCCATTTTGATTTTGCCTTACCTCCTCTCTCTTATCATCTCGTGACCCTCTTTTTGAATCACCCGCTTGAGAAGACAGTGCGCTGTCAGTAGAAGCTTCTGGGGTAGTTTGATTGTTGCTAGTAGGATTCGTGGAGTCAGGTGATCGTCCATCAGGAGATTCCATATGTAACTGGCCCACCAGTGATTCTGCGCCCATTAAGCTTGGTGCAGAGGTTCCGCGCTGTAGTGTAACCCCAGAACGTTGATGGTAGGTCCGCGCTGGAGGAGCCATGGTATTGATACTTTCTGATGATTCAACATCCGATGAAGTATAATCGTACGGATCCGCACAATCAGAACGGAATTCAAATCTGGAGATATTTTCGGGTAGATTATTGTTGGCACCAAGGGCGCCAGAGGACCGCAGGTCACACCCTGTGATCTCCCCAAAAAGGCGGGGCCCCGATGACTGAGCTGCTTGGGCAAGGATACTGGGGGCTAACTCATAACTATCAAGATTTGGTAATGAAGGGTATATTACGTCGGCAGGAGTTTGAGTCATGGCAACTTGTTGCCTTTCCTCCTCAGTATAATGGGAAAGCCGCTGTCTTTTAACATCATTATGGTTCGTGGGTGTCTCCTCTTGATCCTCCAAGTTATCGATTTCGTTATCGAAGTCTTCGTCGAGACGATCATTGAGATCAATGCCAGAAGCATCGAGTCTTTCTGCTTCATCATCTTCGTTGACTTCCCTCACGGCTGCCAAAGTTGGGTCAAATTCCCGAACTTCAGGTTCGTCAATTTGTGAATAGGCAATTTCGTCTGGTACGTCATTGATCCAGGGATGTTTAAAACACTCCGCTTCCTTGGGCCTAGCCCTCGGATCACGATTGAGAAGCTTCGAAACAAAATCGACGCCATCTTCCGATACTCCCGCATGTCGAAGAAGATCGTAATCCGCATTAGTAGTCATGATATTGCGGAGCATAGATGCGCCTCGATCGTCTCCCCGACCAAAAAATGGCGCAGTTCCACAAAGAATATGAAACGTCACTGCGCCAAAGGACCACATATCGACTGATTGATCGTACGGGGATGTCCTCGGGACACTGGAGAGTACAAGTTAGCAGAGCTGTCGGATGCAATAAATGGTACAAATAGCTCACAGATCAGCAACACGTCTTCTCTTCCTTGCTTCTCCTCGCCTGTACTTGTCATATTCAGGATAAACCTCAGGAGCACAATACAATAGGGTCCCGCAAAAGGTTTTCATAAAGGATTCTTCCTGAGCAACCTTCGAGAGTCCAAAGTCCGAAAGCTTAACAAACAGCGGATCAAACGATTGGATCAAAATGTTGTCGGGTTTGATATCGCGATGCGTTATCCTCCTTCTATGGAGGTACTGAAGAGCGTGCAATATTTGGCGAGAAATCGACTTTACTTGGTCCTCGGCAAGATGATGGCATTGATTAAGATAAGCAGATAATTCACCTCCGGGGACAAATTCCATTATAATGTAAATCCAGCGGTTATCGTGATCATGATAGTCTCTGAACTCAACGATATTTGGCTGAATAGCAGTCAGTTTCCACACATTAGAAACGGGGACAATAGATGGGACTAACTTACATGCCGCAATCCACTCATGATCATCATTTCATTGTTAACTTTGTGGTCAGAAATATTATTCTTTATCAATTGTCGTTTGTCGAGCTCTTTACAAGCGTAGAGCACTCCGTCTCTTTTCGTTGCGAGTTTGTAAACAGTAGCAAATGCCCCTTTGCCAATCCGGCCAGTAACATTATACTTGGAACCGCCATTCCAGTGCATTCCGTGAGTTTGTCCGCCTTGCTGAGGAACAATGAGAAAACCGTCATGCTGCGCCATCTTTCCGGGTGTTCCTCTACCAACTCCGGGTTTTTTGCAAGCATTATTATGTACACGATTCATGTAACGAATTACGTTTTGCGTGTACTGACGTTCAAAGCCATCCCGAGGGGGAATGCGCACAATGAACTTAATGCCAGCTATCGAATCATTCGTCACATGAATGATAGAACCAGAAACGAGCATTTGAGTAGAAGGAGCACCAAACTTATTATCCCTCTGAACAAAATTGTCATCTACAAGGGTTCCATTGGTTGAAGTGTCTTGCAGCATTAGGATGTTGTCTCGTGTTAGAAAGATCCGAAAGTGGACTTTGGAGATTTTATTTTCGCTATCGTCCCGAGCGAGCATTACATCGCAGCGATTCGGGTTGCGACCAAAACAAAATCCCATGCTCATATCTTTTACGGAAGACGAAAACCTCAAGGCAATATCGCGATTTGAGCAGTTTGGGACCCCACTGTCGTATTCCAGATTGTCCCTTTGTAAGATATGCTGTAGTCCATAACGCGCAGTTGCACTTACGGCGTCGTAAGCAGAAAGGGAGTTTGGATGCAAAACACAAATAATATCGGGAATATCTTGTTCATCCAATCCAGAGTTGTTAAGCCCCATCCGCCGCGGGTCAGCGTATGGCTGGGTAGACTTCTGGGTGGCTTCATCCATTTCAGAAGAATGTGAGGAAAGTAGGGGACAATTATGTGATTAGAAATGGGAAAAAAAAAAAAAAAAAAAAAAAAAAAAAAAAAAAAAAAGGGAACCTATAGTAGCACTTAGCACTTCAACAAACATGGAACTAAGGGCAAGTCGGAAGTTCTTGTCACTTGAATATTAAAACGATGATGGTATAATAAAAGTATGATTCATCGAAATGGGACAATAGGTTGAAAAGCACACATTCACTGCTGGCGATAGGTTCAAAAGGATGTCAAATGTGGACAGCAATATTTAATTGAAAGGTGTACGCTGGCGGAGATCGAATGCGGCCAGGCCCAGCATGCCCTTGATTTGGCGTCGGACGAATATTGGCACAAGTTCCTCTCTAAGCCCAATCGCAGCGCGCAGTGTAGGCCTGCATTACAAGCTGTCAGTTTCAAAGACGTAAAGTACAAAGAAACAGTAATTGCCAAATGGAAAATCTGTTGCTTATTGTTGGGCAAGGCCAAAAGGCGGAATTCAGCAAGGTCACGGGAACAATATTCCCAAACGGCCAACAAGGCTAACGGAACATATCCACACGTTTCCAGTAGTCTAAAATTAAAATAAAATCTGGTAACACTTACCGATGCACTGAGCGTGGCAGGGCGGTATGGAACTATCTCCCCAGCAGGTAACAATGAGGCAACGAGATGGCGGCTATGAAATGTCTTCGCGCCAAGTGATTTGAGTCACGCGCATTAGGGCTGTCCAAGCCAATCTGGGAGACATGAATTGCTCGATAAAGGATGCAGCAGCGGAAATTGAGAAGCAGCAGAATTCCAAGGTTAGAAGATGTTGCCAGGAGATGTTCCATCCAATGAAAAGGTTGGCTCTTTCAACATTCAGTTTCTCCCTGGACACCTCAGGGTATTATACATCACAAACCAGAGACTGCCAATGCCAATTAGGTAGCGTCAACCATGAATCCGGACTCCAAATAACCAAGTATCCTCATATCCTCATATGCTTTGTGAGAGGCACCTGGTAAGGTGTGCTTCATGCGGCATTGGACGGTAGTTGGAGCGTAGGATGTCGGTACCAGAATAGAACCGATCAATCTGTTCAATAAGAATCAATTCCCGTTAGCCATCGACATCCTATACTGCTCTAAGTTGAGGAAGAGAACAAAATGGAAAAACATAAAACAAAGAGCGAAATGATTTAACTCCACTCCCCAGTCCCTGTGAACGCAGAGCAAGATCTTTCGCCGCACGAATTCGGGAGAGTGGAAAAAAACACACCTAGAGAACGTGACTCAGTTAAGCAACCGGGTCCAAAAAACAAGCTTCCTCTGACTCAGGATAGGGGAGAGCTGGGCCCATGGATGTGCTACATATCCCGGAAGCAGTGAGTAAACAAACAGAAGTTGAAAGCTTGAGGTTGAAAGTCAAGGAAGCCCTGGAGTTAGGATAATCCTGTTACCCCAGGCACCCAGCTGGTCCGTGCATTGCTTAGGCATAAGGTTTCCGGCCCGAGAGGTTCCTGGCACTAAGAAATATTTTTAGTTATCATTAACCCTACCACGTGACCCACGCTCCATATGTCTGGCTGGTTTGGCTCAGCTTCCCAATCGTCTGGAATCCTCAGAGAAGATCCCACGCTTTGCCTGATACTGGCCGAAGCACTCCATAAACTCCAGAACCTGCCAAAGTTCAAGTCTCGAGGTCCTGTGTCCTGTGTCCTGGGATCCCGTTCCCGAGTCAGCAAGGTTGGAAATTTTAAACATAACAATAACATTGTACCATGACTCGATTGGCTGTCGGTTGATCTGTCGCACGCGACTAATTCCACGTGGATATCTACGGAGCTACGCTGCTGCATCCATGATAGGTCGTTATTGAACTTGAGGAAAACGCTTCACATGTCTCTTGGCCAATATCATATCGTACGTCTCCTTCAGCCCATTTTTGATAGGCGCAAATGCGGAGCTATTGGAGATCCACCTGAAGCCGTCCAAAACAATGATAACAAGACGAAGTTGAGTTTCTAATGTTGGAGACCAAGTCAGACCATCAGATCCACATGCAAGGAAATTCGTGAGGTTTCTGCGGAGTATGGAGACTTTACATGTCGACTGCAATCTCTAGTGTGTTGTATCAAATTTCTTTTCAATCATCAATTATGAGATTTTGATATAGTATTTGTCATATCTAACTTACGCTTAATTTCAACTGGGGTTTAACAAGAGAAAAACAGTTGTTATTCCTTCTTGCTGGTCTTGCTGGCTACCTAAGCAGTCACACGTCATGTAGCCTTCCACGGCAGCGTTGTCAAGTTCTATCCCATTAATGAACGCTGGCATCGTCCAGTTTCCATGCTAAGGTAGAAGGTGGAGCTTGCAATTGCTGGAAGAAATGTGACCGTAGAGTGAACGCTCTAGTAGCTAGTTGACAAGTGACAGCCCCTAATAAACTCATTGACCACTTGGGCAGAACACACCTGTCGATTTCTTGATGGTTGGCTGAAGAGTTCGGAAGGCTGTTACACGGGTCGTTATCGGCCGTTACAAAGAGAGTGTCTGTCCCAGCTTCACTGGTGGAATATTAACGCCGACATATATGTGGGGTAAAATATATATGGGAGCTCTGAAGCCATTATCCCCAAAATCATCCATTTAGGATGGCCGATTGCGCCCAGTGCGCCCAGAGTATGAATACGTTACTCATTGTTGTTGAGTATTGCAAAGTAGATACGCCGGTGAATAAGGGCTAATGTTAGATGGATGCCTTGACATCTGATACAGGGGAATTTCAAGTAGCAGTAAAGAAAGCCAATAGTGAAACCGTCTTATAGATCCACTTGCGGAAAGGCTCGAGATATGTTGTTGTTATGGTTGATATCCTGCCTTAGGAATTTTTAAGCCAGGAGATTTGCCCAGGTGGGCTTGAACGCGTATTAGTCATCTACGTGTTCTTTGCATCAAACTTCCTACCATCCGCTTCGAACTGTCGGGAAATGATATATGTCGGAATCGGAGAACAGATTTCATCCAGAAGAGGTTAATTCTCTCTCTGTTATTAGAAGGATGGTTGATTATGATCTCTAGTATCAGACGAAACAGGAAGACATTCATATTATATTGTTATTTTTGTGCCTAGTCGATGGCTTTCAATCCCATTATCGCCTCCGCGGCGTCTCTTCTAGTACCTTGGGAGGGATCAGAAACAATAACATGCCGTTGCCTTAAATGTGCTTCTATACTAGCCATTAGCCCCAATTTTTGGACCAGTCGTTCTTCGCATATGTATTCTCCTGGTTCAATCTGCGTGTTTGATAACAGCATTCTTTCCGAGCCAGTCTCCCACCTGTACCCAACCGAAGATGAGCAGCACCGCGCAATTATTTGTAAACAATGTCTGGAAATTGTCGGGCATGGAGTACAAAAAGATATGCCCAGGGATGGTTTTATGTAAGAGTCTATCTGATATAGTTTGCTCATGCAATGAATTTTGACTTGCTCCAGCCAGTTTCATTTTCTTTGGTCTTTGAATAAAATTTCCCTGAGGGATATCGCTACAGGAAAGCCGGTTTCTCCCCGCTTAAACTCTGCCATGAATGAGTGGCCTTTTGGATCGTCGGATTTCAGTACTTGTGTGTCAAATGGCCATCACCAGCGTATAGACGACCAATCTAATAATCAAGGGTCTGAAAGAGATCATCTCGCATTGGCATTAACCCAACCCATCTCTCAAGAGCTTAAACTCATGGTTGACGAATTGAGACAGACCATTGCCTCTCTGCATGGTGAAATTGGACGCCTCACCATGCCAGTCTCAACTCAAGACCATCCATCTCAAGCACCTCACGATGGATATGAGCTCATAGCAACTGCTCTAAGGGAAGTCAGAGCGAAAGGGATTGAGGTAGATGCCCTCAAAAGGGAAAACGACTCCTTACGTCTTAAAGTTAAGGAGTTAGAAAATACTCCGTTAACCCAAATCGAGCGAACCTCCGCTGCTAACAACGGCCGTTTGACTCCTGCCTCGAATTCAGTTCGTCATACCGCAACCTCGGACCAAAGGGGACATTCAACACCCATGAATTCTAACGGGAAGCGCCCTTTCCTGCAAGAAATTTATCCCTCACAAAATGGTAACATAAGTTTACCCAGCGTTGAATGTCTCCAACCCACATCGAAAAGGATGAATTTGACAAGTGGTGTGACTTCCCTTTTCCGTATTGGCCTGCCGCGATCAATAATCACTCATAAAATTGCTAACGAAGCTCAAAATTCCGACACCGATGAGCTTGCCGAATCATGGCAAACACCGAAGCGCCAACAATTGTCAACTGATGCAAATCGTGGTGAAGAGACTATTCTTGCTCGTGCAATTGGTCCTCAAAAATCTCCAGACAAACGACAAGATCAGGAAACGAAACAAACTTTCAACCGAAAGCCAGTTAAACCAGATAAGCAACCGAAACAGAAAATAGTTCTTAAGCCTGTTCGCGGACGACCAAGGACTAAGTCGATATCTGCAACAGTAGCAACCACAAAAGTTCCCCTGCGGGATGAGGATAACAATGCTACAAGTGCATCAAATCCATCAACCTCTGCAGATCCTTCTCACTGTCCAGCAGTAGATGATTCAGAAATCCAGAGCAAATCCAGACCCAAGAAACCCAAGAAAAAGGCCAGGAGAGCCAGTGCACGACTCTCAAGGCGTTTATCCCTTGCTCCGCTTGACCAAGGGAATACACAGCTAAACTCTGGCCAGGAACCTAATAGCCTCACAGCGAAAGAAATCACAGCACAAGAACAACAGGCCAGGGACCCTCAGGAAAATCCAACTCAACCAACGCCGCCAGACAGCGAGAGCCTTTCCAAAACGATCCCCAATTCCCAGAGCGATAGTGATAATGCTCCACTTGACCGGGAGGACACAGCCGCCAACAATCAAGGAGAAGGATCTACGCAGGAAACCGCACAGTCTCAAAGCTTTGCTGACCCGATTCGTGACAAACGAAAATCACAAATTGCGGCCCGGAATTCTCTTGCTAAGCTGGCGATGCAGAGGGAAGAGGCGTTAGATGCAGCTGCATAGCAACAACATAGATAAAGGAAGGGGGCAAAAGATCATGGTGTCTCTCATGTGTATCTCTCAAATAATTCTTTAGGGAATCTTTAATGTTACTTTTAATTGGAAAAATTCAAAATGGTACGTCAGAGCAGGGCTCCTTATTCGTCTAGTATCTTATTAGGATCATTTTCCAGTTCGCCAATCCGCTTACTTCCAGCGATTATTTTACTGAGGGAATTTGGCCGATATCATCATAGCAAGGCCCTACGTCGCGGCTGGCATCGACCTAAAAGTTACATAATATGAACCGTTTCAACATTCATACCTTTTGGCTATAAATATATGGAACCAAGTCGCTCATTTTGTCCACTTGTTCTGGTTCCACAATATCTTAACCTAGGTATTTAAGTATACACTTAGAACTTGATGGCCACCACCAACTAGGGGTTTTAGGTGGAGGTTCTCAAGGCAAATATTACCCAGCTACTTTACAGTCATGAATCCACATCCCCTCCTTGCCGTTTGACATGCCCTCTTCAACGCCTGCTCTTCAGTATCTGTCCATTTCACGCTGAGTTCAGCCCATGGTTTCTGGGAGCGAAACTCTTGCAGGTATATCTTGTGTAGCTCTTGGAGGCGGGAAACCTCCCGTGGGTCACCTGTACCCGAATACACCATGAAAAGGGTGCACGGTGGTAAAGAATCCAGAATTCGCTGGATACATGAAACTGTTTTAGCGACAGCACATGCGAGATGTTCGGGGTTGGAATTGTCGGCTTCGACTGAAAGTTCTCCATTCAAGGGGCCGACTGCTTTCGTTGGGACTGCGGAGGACTCATTCACCTTCGTCGGGTCGGGGATTCTGTTGCACCAGCCTCGGAATACTTCTAGTTCACGTAGACGAGCCCAGGTGAAGTCTACACCACCGCCAGGAACCAAGCGGCCATCCTTGTCACCATTAACAGCACGGCTCACCCCGGCGACAACTTCATCATCATTTTTGCAACCCAAAGCTACTGTCGCTTGAGACCCAAATCCCCGCTCTGGACTACCCCAGTCCACAACAGCCCCAGTTCGGCCTCTATTCTCCGCGCTCGTACCAGATCTTCCTGGGACTGTGGCTCTGGAAAGGCGACGGAATATACTCTCATTAGAGGCCTCACTTGTTCCCCACCTTTCACCCTTTTCGCACTTCTGCTTTACGAGTTCGAGCACAGCTCGCGCATCTTCGATGGAATCATGCCCTGTTTGGCCTTTTTGGATTTCCTTGCCAAGGTACTTCTGGGATAGCCATTTCAAACTTAATTTCAAAGGAGTTCCGCGAGGGTGAGGATAAATAATTGAAGTGTCGATGATAAATGGGTGCGTTAACCTTAGGGCGGAGAGATCAGAGTTGAGGGAATGGCCGATTAATATGGTTTTGGGAGTCAATAGCAAAAGCAACTTCTGTTGGACGTTCGCCAAACGAGTTGTTACAGGATCCAACATTTCTTGTGTGATCCCAGAAAATCGCGTAAGGTAATCGATGATAGGTTTCTCTGGTTTAACTAATTCATCTAGAACCACTTCACCACCCCAGGAAACGAGGCTCACCCGTGTAAGTTCTGAAGATCCTCCTTCCGTGATGCACATTTCGCAATCGAGAGATAGAATTTCGCGTCCCGCCGTAATACTGCCCTTCTGAATGTCCTTCTCTGGTATTTCGCCATCGGAATATCGATCAACTTTGGTGTCTACCCAGCCGTCCTCTGGAGACTGGCCCAGAGAAGCGCGAAGATCTGCATTTGCAGATGCATCTTGGGGGGCATCAAACAATGCCGGATGCAGTACATATTCGTTATCCCTTAAATCCTTCAAAGAGCTCAGAAATGTAGTAATTGGCGTTCTTTTTGATGACCAGTTGTCTTCTCCATGAGGAGGCTTCGGACCCTTGGATTCATTTGTGTCTTTTGATTTAGGCAGAGCAGATAATAAAATGGCTTGTAGTGGGGAATGCACCCTATTGTACTTTGAGTCACCAGGGGATTTAACAGGCCAAACATGTGGAAACATATCAGCTAGTGGTTTCAACGGATCAGGCAATTGGTCCGCTAAAAGGGGCCTTGGATTGAATTGTGCTGTGTTTTTGGCTTGAGGTAGGCCTTTCTTCCAGCTCTCAAATTCTCCAGAGTTCTTCTCTCCGGTGGCATTTACAGTCCCATTCGCGTCAGTTTTGTCTATGGTGGAATAACTGGCATCATTCACATCTAATGTCGGACCAGAACATGTGTCAGATACTAGAGGTACAGTACCATCAAACATGCCGATTTCCAGGCCAGGAACCATTAGCACGACCACTTTCCTGACATGTCCAGAATGCTTCACTGAGATCCATTGCGGGGCAATGCCATCCCCAAAACAATAAAGGAGGAGACTTTGCAGATCGGCGATTCTGATAGAAGACTGCAATCGGCCTTCAATATAGGTCAGAGTTGGATATTTGGCTTTTTCATTTCCTGCTCTCTTTCGTTTTTTCATTGGTGCAGGTTCAGATTGCTGAGGGGTTTGGTTGTTGTCATTCCGGAGTATCGAAAGAGTTTCAGCTAAACCAAACCCACTGCTATTTTGGGGATCTGGAGATATGTTTTGACCGCCATTCGCGTTGTTCACGAACACCTGCGAGCGTTTACGCTTCCTGTCAGAAGTCATAAATGTCGGCTCGCTAGAAAGATCCAGATGACAAAATCCAAAAAGAAGCCGTTATGTTAGGCTAAGGGTAGTGGTAGAAAAGTGGTGTGGGAAGTGGTGGAAATGGAACAATTGGTGAACAAGATGTTCAGATATTGGTACCAGTTCCTGGAGAACATAGATAAGAAACAGACGCGAAGACAGAAAACGCGTTGTCTCGTAAGAGCCCCTAACACTGCGAGTTTGTTTCCAAATTAACACTACTTATTGAGCATTCAAGTAATTGTTTTGTTATGTTGTGTTGACCTTTTCTTCCGCCGATCGATGTTTTAAAAAAAATGGATTCCGACAATCGCACAACTTTATTTTATTTTATTTTTTTTTTCACATTGTGTCACGTGCTTACATTGTCATTGATGAATAATAGATCTTCGGCTTGGCATTAGTTGTGGGAGAGGCCTAGCTAGCCATCTAATAATATACGCTATATCGCGTGCGGCGGGGCGGCAGGCCCGGGCAACATAAACGCCCAACATTAGTTAACTATCTCTTCCATTAAAATTAGGGCTAACCCCTTTTTCTTCTCCTCCCAAGGTCAAAGGACTTGGTATGTACAATCGAGACCACCAGGAGATACCAGATGCCATTGAGATCAGGGTTCTTTATGAGTCAGATATTTGATAATAAACCTAGCATCAAAATGCGGTTTGGACATGTATCGTATCGCCATACATCTCAACATGAAAACTCCCCATAAAAATCACACACACATCAACAAATAATTAACAGAGGGAATTGCAGAGAAAGGAATAATCCAAGGGAACTTAAAAATCAAATAAACGCAGCAACCACAACCTCCTTCCCACTATCCAACCGTGAACTCTCAAATATGCCACTTCTATCCCTTTTTACAGTCCATACCCTCCACAATGCGCTGCGCATTTTCAAGTGCCCTAATCTTCTCATCCAACTCTCCTTTCTGCTTCACAAGTGACTCCAGCCTGGACTGCAGAGACTGCGGTGAACCCTTGGAATCCAAACTATCCAAAGATATACATCTCACATCGTCTAAACGTATATCTCTTCCTGACCTTCGGCGTTTCGTTCGCTCCACTGGTGACATTGCAGAAGTTTCAGGCAGACCTTCATTCCGACGCCCATGAATTTTCATGTGGTTTTGAAGGTTCCAAAGTCGAGAGAAAGGTTTAGTTAAGCGTGGACATTCTGCGATTTGGCAGGGGAAGGTCCCGGGGGATTTTGTAGCGGTTGGGGATTTTATGCACCTCTCGTAGGTGTCGGAGCAAACATGCTCTGTCTGAAAAAATGCGCATATTACAGCCAGTCTCGATACATTGAACTGGGAGTGGTTTGCGCTTAACCGGATGCCGGAAGCTATCATCGGGGCTGGAGCTTTTTTATCAACAATCTATCAACAATCTTTAATCATGCATATTAAATCGAGAAAAGGTAAGTTTGGAAAACCTTTCTTGATCCAAGTTTAATTCTCACGGTAGATAGCACTTTTTTTGGTGTGTTTCCATCCGCAATACCTATTGTCGGGGTGCTGCTCGATGCCGGGAACCCGTCATCGGCACAATTTCGGTATGTTGTGGCGAATGTTTTGCCTGTCTAAAACTTCATGTTAGATAAAATATTTAATGCTGATGGAAGGGTAAACACCAATATTTGTTCACAAAATTGTCCTAGATCTGGCAAAGAAATAAGACCATAACATACTCCGAATGTGGCGCAATTATCCATGTGGTTGGCTATGCGCTGGGCCAGTTGGAGAAAAAGGGTTCTCCTAAGAGGGCAGCTGGTTTGAACAGAACGGAAGTGTAGTCTCAAGGTATTGGTCAGACTTCTGGAAAAAGGCAACTGACAAACAATTGATAACCTCGCGAATAACGTACCGACTCCTTCTGGTTCGAAATCTATGGGAAATTCAATGGGCGCCATACTTACAGGATTTGAGAGGAAGGTATCTGGGGAATCCAGCGCGCTCAGTCAAAAAGTGAATTGCGGGACAGATCTGAGAACTTAGGGGCATTTAAAGGAGACTCACCGTTGCTCGTGCCATCGCTGCTTGAAAGACACGGGAAATTAGAGAGGGGAAAAGATATTAAAGAAATAAATGAAGGACGAATCTTTGAGATTCGTGCGGAGAGATTGTAGTAACGGAATCCTAAAGAAAATCCAAAGGTCTCCATACCTAGGACCAAACTGACCTGCCGGCACCTGCCCACAACCAGCCTGTTTGGCGGGTGACACGTTTGGGATGCCAGGCCTCTGAAGGAGGGGAAGCACCGTGATGAGGTGATAGGCACTATTAGAACACCACGAGGGAGCTTGGTGGATTCTCCGCAAGGATAGCTAAGTAACATAGCCGACCAAGTGTGATTCCAGAACTCCGGTTATGGAACAGAGCGTATTCTCTAAAGTAGCAAGAAGATATGGGGAGAAAATAGCGAACAGATAAACGGATTACCCAGCAAAACAGGGTTATCCGACCGAATGATTATTATTATTATTATTATTATTAATTTCTTTTTTTTTTTCTTTTTTTTTCTTTTTTTTTTAGCAATGCTCCAGCACGATAGGTTCAGTGAAATAAACAGTATTTGCTACTGAAAAATTTAACCTCCAGGGAATCTATCCAACAATGCCCAAACCAAGTACTAGGTAAACAACACCAGGAAACTGATCCACGTATGCCTATATATATGCCGAGTACGATTCATTTGGTCCAAAAGGATATATGTAGTCCGGCCGCCGGGATACCTGTCACTATCTTCAAGACACAAAACAAAATGAATTATCGTTTCATTTTCAATTCTGAAACTTACTGATAAACGTTGGTGTCATGGTGTACATGCTCCCGAGGGCCTCGTGGGCTCGTTATGGTCCAATCCGTCATATCTATTCGTATATTGTTCTGCGTTTCGCAGCGACACTGATACTATGTTAGACACATTTGGCTACTGGAAAAGAACAAGAGTAAAAGAAATGAAATGAACAGCGTACGGCTAAAGAGAGTGTGGAACCTCTTGGGCTGAAGAGTAATAACAAACGTTAATAACTTTTCCGGAGTTGAAAAAGAGGTGGAAACACAATATTTAGAGAATCCCAAATCTGGCGACATTACGACGCGTTTTATGTAGAAGAGTACTCCGTACTTATGGGGCAATTTGGTAAGGCAGCGCAGCCTTGTCCAGCGGAGTTTCCCGGAGATTGGCGCGGCAATCATTGATTCGCCTAGGTTTGCGCCAAAGGCGTCAGGCTGCAGACCAGGCAGTTTGGACAACACCTTGGGCTGCAGATTCGAAAAACGCTGGGAAAGATCGGCTGGTAAATGAGTTTTCTATTCCCGCTTGAAGGAAACGGCCGAAAATGCCCAGTCTGTCAATCCTGCCCTCCCCACACCGGCTCACAACTTCTGGGGTATCTGGAAGCTAATGATAAGTTAAGTAAGGCAACCAGTAACCGCTTAGGCACACTTGGGTGGTCGACTAAATATTCGCTAGATGGGAGTCCGGAAATAATATGATTATGCTCATGCACGCAAAAGACTTTTAGTCATTCTTGAAGCCCGACTTGAATCGGCAGGGTCGCCTTCGCTGATTGTAATTACAATGGACACTGGAATTTCGAAGAACCTGTTGAATAATAATGACCTTCAATCAAGTGGGGGTTAGCTGGTGCATAATGGGTTTATAATCTAATCTTCTATATGTGTCAAGTGCTAAGCAATAAGTTTTGTATCCCAAAACTATACATCAGTTTGCCACTGGCTAGAAAGGAATCTGCATTCACAATGAGTGGTTTGCAGACAGCAATGACAAAAATGACGGTTTGAACCCGCGTTGCCGGGGATTCCCTAGACGATAGATCTTTGCACGGAGAATAAATAGGAGGAAGTATGCTCAATTTGAAGTGGCATGAGCAAAGACTAAAATACCAAACCTCATAGGTTCTGCATTTAGAGGCCTAATAGAATGAGTACAAGAGAGTCTTAAATGACAGAGGAGGGCCTCGGAGAGCACACTGCCTCTTAAGATAGCCGGATATTCATCAGAATCGGTTTTGGGTAAGCATACCGCGCTTGAGAAAAGGAGAAAAGAGAACGGAGTAAGTAGACACGATCCAGTTTCAACACTTTCTCCATACAACCCGCCCCCCTAAATTCAAATGGCTATAACGGACACCAGCGTTCAAATGCATGTTGAAGCCTGAGGATGTGTTACCCAAGGCGGTCTAAGATGGCCTTATTGTGATGGGTTTGAGGGGTTGAATTAAGCTTCTGAGCTAAAAATGTTAGCGGCTTGGTATACTATTAATAGTATTTCCACGTGACACGGCGGCAATAACAGTTACTACCAATGTTGAAAGTTCTTGTACTAAATGTGTAGATCTATTCCTTCTACTGTCTAATTGTATGTCTCACTATATTACATTTGCTGCAAGTTGGCAGCCTCAATATTTTCTTAAATTAATCTCACTCACTTTCTCATACTTCTTCATGACTTGTTTAATAACTTGAGCTTTCTGTCTGCTGTTAAATATTTCTTCTTGATCTTCTATATATATATATGTATGGTATATGTTTCACTTTCACTTTTGTTTGACAACTGCAAGTTGTAGCGTTTTATTCCCTTGATTAATAAAGCAGTTTTGTGCAATGTTCCATTTTTATAATTTGATATTCTAGCTAATTAACATTTCTAGATATTTTAAAGATTTAGAATAACTGAGATTATAAATAATTTTTAGAAATTCAGTTTTATTCATATAATTAAATATCAAGTCTTATATTATGTTTTATTAACTTGTAATATACTTATTTTAATAATCTAAAGTAGCTCATATTTAATAGCTATGATTGACAAGATAAATAAAAAAAATGAATGGAAAAACATATTATAATTACTACTATTCTTCTTCATAATAGTAGTTTATAACTAACTTATTAAACTCTTGTTTTTAATTATAATAAATTTAACTTATTGTTTGTTTAGTTATATTCACTAATTTTAATTACTCAGCTAGCTGGTAGATTTGTATTTCTATGTAGGCAGAAGGTCTGATGTAGTTTATTTTATGAAACAATGTTATAAGTTTTAAAAATTAACTTTATGATATATATTCAATGATAATGACTTATTTGTAATTTCCTGACTATAAAAGCCATAGCTTATGAGCTGTTTATAATTTAATAATAATTTTTAATTTTGAAAAAACTAGTTAACTAAGCCTTGTTGCAAAGCTTACTTATTTCATCAAAGTTAATTATAGATAATTTAATTATTCTCTCATATAATTTTATATCTTCTTATGATATGTTATAAGAATTATATTGTTCATATATTATACAATAGAAATTTAAAAAGACTTCTCTCACTTATTCATAGATATTATTCATTCAACTAGTAATTTCTCTTCTGAAGAAGTTAACTTCCGCTTGTTGATTGCAGCTTTAAATCATGACTTAAATCCGTACAATCAATTAATTATATAAGGTGTTAATAGGTAACATCATAATCAGATGCTTGAAATTTGACTGGATCATAGGCACCAATAGTCAATTGAAGCCTTTCTTCGTAGTCAGGAGCTTGATCTTTTGATAATACGGCCACGTTGGATGATTCGATGTAAGTGGTGATTAGAGTGAAAAAATTGGTGCGTTGAATGATTTTGGTGAGTTTGCGTGAATGATTACGTTAACGCGATCTGATAAGAAAATTTAAACAAACAGCCACATCCCGATCTCATCTATCCAAGATATATTCATTCCAACAACCATTACCATCGCCAACACGACCACACCAGTCAACGTTTTATATCTCCAGTGTTATCTCCTGCTTGGTTTTCGGTATTCAACGCTCACCTAAACCCCCGACCCTTTTATTTTCACCGATCAAAAGGGGCGTCTTGGTTGGAGTAACGCACCACGTTACTGAAATATACACCACCCGTGGACCCGCAACATGTCAACCCTAGACGAAATTGCTTCGGAAGCCGCTTTCAACAGCCACATCTCCTCCCTTCCCCCATCCGCCCTTCTCGTATTATATTTCCACACTGCCTGGGCCGCACCATGCACTCAGATGCGCACCGTCCTCTCCACACTCGCCTCAACCTATCCCGCAACCACCCCGCCTTCCATCTCCTTCGTCAGCGTCAACGCTGAAGAACTCCCCGATATATCCGAACAATACGACGTCACCGCAGTTCCCTTCATCGTTCTTATCCGCGACTGCAAGACTCTACAGTCGCTCTCCGGCTCCGATGCGATTAAGGCACGTGCCGCCATCGAACAATATGCTGGCGTAGCTGCAACAGGCAGTAATACGGCGGGTGCAGAAAAGCAATCAATCCCTCCACCGCTCCAAACAGAGCCGAGAAAGGATGTCCACGCTCCCACCACATCTAATGCCCCTGGCGTCATCAACGGCGCAGAAGCATCTCCCAAACCAACGCGATCCACCAAGGAAGAGCTGTTCGCCCGACTGGAAGAGCTAGTGAAGGCTGCGCCGGTGATGTTATTTATGAAGGGGACACCAAGTGCGCCACGATGTGGGTTTAGCCGGCAGATTGTTGGCATACTCCGCGAAAACAGTGTGAAATATGGCTTCTTCAACATTTTGGCGGATGAGGAAGTGAGGCAGGGCTTGAAGGAGTTTGCTGATTGGCCGACATTCCCGCAGTTGTGGGTGAAGGGAGAATTGGTGGGCGGGCTAGATATTGTGAGTTTATTTCATCTTCCCCATTTGCTTTTCACCTATTTATTTTATATTATTTTATTTAACACCTCAATGAAAGCTAATTGGTAACTTAATTAAAATAACAACAGGTCAAGGAAGAAATCAATGCAAATCCGGACTTTTTGAAGGACTATTCAGTAGCACCCAAGGCGCCAGCATAGAGATTTTGATTTTCAGATTTTTTTTCTTCTTTTTTCTTTTCGTGTCTTTTCTTTCCTTCTTTCTTTTATTTCTCTCTCTCTCTCTCTCTTTTTTTTTTTTTTTTTTTTTTTTTTTTTTGCGCCTGATGAAATAGTACGATGACCATATAGTAAAGCAA